AGCAAAGATGCTGGGATTCATAACATATTGGTCATCCATGTAGCCAAATATTTCGTCGACTTTTTTAAAACTAATAAACCCTCACAAAATTATTTTCATATTTCTGAAAGTAGATTCTCTTAAGATTAAATTCAACAACAAGAAAAATAGATAATTCCTCCCTTGAATCGATATTTTGAAATTTGGCAATTCACAGAATATATAATGTGACATCGGTGCAGTTTTGGAGAGAGTCACGAAGATTTATGGAAACTGACTGTCTGGTCAAACAAATACTATTTAGCTTTTACACTAAGGCATTATCATAATAAATAAATATATATAGATGTTGACAAACAAAATTCTATCTATAAATTTCTCACTCTCTCAAGATTTTAATTTGGTTTTGGCAAGTTAATTATCAGCTTCTTTGAATGAAATGATTTCTATGTAAAAAAAATGGCATAGCCATAAAATCTGAGAGTGGGCAATTACGTCCTCATTTTACTTATGAATTGTATACTTTTGTTCATGAAAATCAATTAAATGGTAATTCTTGAGAGAAATATTCGACTGGTGCTCGAGTCTGTAGCGTACGAATCATGTAAGACGATGTTGCAGCCTGAAACCGAGACAAACATAGGCGACATAGCCATCATAGTAATCACGATCATGTTCTTCGCCATCTTCGTCATGGCTTTGGTTTCGGTTTGCTTTCGTTGGACCTCTCACCAACTTCACTCGCTAGATCTTTCTTTTAGGTTCACAGACTCCAATCGCACGGTGAGTACGGCGGCGCGTGGGATCGATGCGGCTATCGTGAACTCGTTCCCGACGTTTCTCTACTCGGAGGTGAAGGAGCGGAGGATCGGGAAAGGTGGTGTGGAGTGTGCGGTGTGTCTAAGTGAGTTCGAAGACGATGAAACGCTGCGTTTGATGCCTAGTTGTTGCCACGTGTTTCATTCTGATTGCGTAAGCGCTTGGCTCTCCGATCACTCCACGTGTCCGCTCTGCCGAGTGGATCTCGCCTTCCAACCGCATGAGGGGAGCGATCCAGATCCGGATTCTACAGAAGGGCATTTGCTCGACGGTATGACGTGGACCAATAGGAATAGACGGTTTCGGTCAGAGTCAACGAGATTGTCTCGCTGCCGAGTCTCCTTCTCCGGGATATTATTCTCGAGGTCTCATTCGACCGGACATTGTGTGATAAACCCGGTAGAGAATCAAGACCGGTTTACGCTCCGGTTACCAGAAGATGTACGGAGGCAACTCACGGTGGGCCACGTGGCGTTAACTCAGGTGAGGAGCTCATGGCGCGGTTACAGAAGCAGAAGTGTTGGAAGCGAGAGTAGCGTCTTCTCGTTCCAACGGAATAACCATAAGAATCGGCGGCTACACTCGAAGACTTTCTCTTTCTCTGATTTTGTATGCTCCACCTCTTGTGGCGGAGATGTGGTGGCTCCGTCGAAGAGTCTTCCGAGATCGTTGGATTTCGACGAACCACCGTCTAAACGACCCCAGCTAGATGATCGAGTGTGAATATGCTCATTTTCTTACGTGTGGTTTTGTTAGCATATGTTTTCGTAAAAGAAAAAGTGATAAGAGGATTTTGTTAAAAAAGACAGACCCTTAATAATTAACTAGTCAGACAAAAGATATTTCAGAATTGGGATTTGAACCCACGCCCTCTTTTGAAGACCAGAGCCTGATTCTGGTGCCTTAGACCACTCGGCCATTCTAACATTATTATTCGTAAGATACTGTATATTTAATATATACTTAAAATACAAATCCTCTACGCTAAAGCTATAGACGATTTTATTAATTAAGACGACCGTTAATAAGTTAACTAACCAGACAAAAAATATGTCAGAAGTGGGATTTGAACCCACACCCTACCTCGAAGACCAGAACTTGAGTCTTGCGCCTTAGACCACTCGGCCATCCTGACAATATTGTTCATAAGATACGGTATTTTTAATATATATTAAAGATGCAAATCCTCTACGTTTGCTATACAAAACTTTCAAATGGATACAATTTCATAGCAAGACCATACCAAACAACAAGTCAAGATTTCATTAAACAAATTCCAAAGAGTTATTATCAATCTGTAATGTCAAAACAAAGTTTGGCTTCATCCCAAGGACCATTGATCTCAAACTTGTACTCTTGCATCCTAATGAGCCAATAAGGACACACAACATTGACAAGAACCACCAGAACAAGAAACAGAACGAACAACAGTCTATGCAGCGCATAAACCGAGTACAATGTCAAACCCATCAAAGCAAACGAGAAGAGAAGATGCAATCCAAACGAGAATTTCTTGATGCAGTAAGTGACAAGAGGGGCAAAGAGGAAGACTTGGAGTGAGAAGAGCATCACAGCAAAAACATGGAGCCTAGAAGKAAGACGCGAGGCGACAAAAACCGATGCTACAATGGAAGCATTGAGAGATATACAACTCATCAAATTCGGGTTTTTCAATGCTCCTGGAGCTCTAATGGTGGAACCAGAGTAATCGTGCAAGAAGAGATGGAGCAAGAGGAGAGAAACCGTGACTGCCCATATCGAATCTGTGCTGATCGAACGCGTGAGCGTCTGGTAAATCGGAGCTAAGATGTAGAGTCCAGTGGTGAAGAATGAGATGTTGATGACGTAACGCAAGAGAAGACTCAAAGATAGCATTTTTTCTTCGGTTAAGAGGAGAACTAAGAACCCAGAAGCTAAGAGTGAGAGATCGAGTAGCAATAGCGAGTACTCATCCAAAGATGAACGAAGAGTGTGGTCCCAAACCAAGACAACAAGAGCAACGATGCAGATGTATTGAGAAATCGAGACAGAGTCTTTCATCACCTTAAGCAAATCACGCCTCACGACGTTTGCGTTCATCACCATTTCTTCGAGGAACGATTCGTCGGTGTAATTGTCGTCGTACCCGATTTGCATACCTCCGTACGCTACTTTCCTCCATTTGGGTCTCTGAGTTGAGTCTCCGGCGAGATTCTTCTCCATTGGAAGGTTCCGATTCCAGATTCTCAGATTCAGGCCCGAAAAAATTAGAGATCTCTACGATATCTCGATCAAATCAAGCAACGATTAGTCTCAGAAGAAGATTGGCGAAGCAATTAATCGAGAGGAAGAGAACGCGGCGAGGGGAGAGGATCTTGTGATGCTTATTTGTAATTAGAGAAAGTAGAGGGAAGTAATTAGATATACTTGCAAACAGTTGGGGTTTTAATGTAATTTTATTTGCCTGAAATGTTACTTTGATCAAGTTTAAAAAACATAATACAAGTTAGGATTGTAAAGGACTATTTTCTATTTATTCTCTAAGATAAAATATTTGAAGATGAGATATGTCAAGCGCATACTACATCTGCAAAGTTCGATGGATGTGAAAACATCTCATTAAACAACAAAAGAAACATTGGAAAATAAGATTGTTGATTATGACAAACAAAAAAAAACAGAGTATCTCTTAAATCAAAATATGAAGCCATCAACTGCATAATGAAATTTCAATTGAAAGC